GGGGGGGGGGAAGGTGCTGGAATAAGGGCTAGGCCCCAGTCCTTGGGGCCAGCTGTCCACTCAGGATTTCCCCCAGCAAAATCCAGCATGCCGATTTTTAAAGCTAGTTCAACAAGCAATTGGATGTGAAGAGTGTAGGGCCACTTTCATTTCATGAGAAAGCAAGCATTCAGAAGTCAAAGAATGAACTGTCCGCCCAAGCATGCTTCCATTTGCCTGAACTTGGGGAATCTGAAGCACCCCAGCAGCCTTCCTTTCCACGCTTTGTTTCCCACACAGGGAGGGGAAAGGAGAGTTCAGCACCTTTCCTACAGACTATGAGGAGGCCAGTCCAGGTGCAACAACCACCAAACTTCACTCCCACTGTACAGAGGGGAAGCCCAAAGCCCAAAGGGCTTAATGATTAGCTTAAGGTCCCCAAGAAGACAGCAGAGCCCTGGGGAATCCAAGGCTGCATTCTCCATCACATAAGACAAGGCCTTTTGCTGAAAAGAAAGAATTTGCAATCATGGTTCCAGTCTTCCAAGCCATCTGGAACTTCTAACAAGACACAGCATGTAAGATACAGCAGTGCCCCTTTATCCATGGGCAATATGTTGCAAGACACCCCCTTCGTGGATGTCCAAAACCCCAGATAATACTGAGCCCTATATAGACTATGATTTTTTATACATGCGTACCTATGATAAAGTTTAATTTATAAATTAGGCACAGTGGGAGATTAACAATAACTAATAATAAAATAGAAAAATTATAACAATATACTGTAGTGAAAGTTATGTGAATAAAAGTTATGTGAATGGCTTTGGGGCCATTATTAAGTAAAATAAGGGCTACTTGAACACAAGCACTGCAGTGCAGTCGATCTGATGACCGAGCCGGCTAAGCAACTAACAGCAGGAAGCGTCTACAGTGTGGGGACGCTGGACAAAGGGATGATTCACGCCCCGGGTGGAATAGAACTGGGTGACACTCATTCATGATACTCAGAATGGCATGCAATTTAAAACATATTAATTGTTTATTTCTGGAATTTTCTATTTAATATTTCTGTACCACAGTCGACCGCAGAAAGTAAAGCTGTGGATAATGGGGGGCCACTGTAAAGGTTTGGACACAGGGATACTCTTTACCTTTCACAGCCCGGCTGAAAAGTCACTTTCTGAAAGAGGCATGCCCTTGGCCACCGCCCTGCATATGGGTTCCTTACTGTCAGTAGCTGGCCTAAATCACCCGGTTCGTTGCTTTCTTTCCTGTTTTTCTGCCTTTTGGCTTCTTTTTCCAACAGTTACATAGCGTTTATTAAGTACATTCTGCCTTTATACTTATTACTCGGTTAAGCCAGTTATTCCCATTGTACAGATTACAAAATGAAAGCACAGAGAGCTCAACTGCCAAGATCACACTTTTAGTAAGTGAGCAGAGACTTATGCTGTTCTCAGCCTTGGCTCCCCTGTCCCGTTGCTCTCTGAGCCTCTGCTCAGGGATGTGGACCCAGCACCTGGTTTCATTTGTACTCTTAACCACTCTGCTGTGCTCCTTCTCTCGGTCCATCTGGGTGTCGGGGCAGGTGTCCCCACTGTCACTTATGGAATTGGTGAATACTGAATCCTTTTAACAGCCACCTCGCCAGGAGCAGCTCTGAAAGAAGAGCTTCCTGTCCACCTATTACCACGGTTTCTTTAGGGAAGGTTTAAAGAGGGAAGTGGTATTGTCAGCCCCGCAGATGAGAATGAAGGTGAGACACGCACAGTTGCGTCTGGCAGGGAGAGGAAGCAATTACAGGGGAGGAGGGGCTCACTGAGCAACCTTGGACAGTCATTCTCTGCATCTCACCGTTTTCTCAGCTGTGAGATAAAGGAACTAGACTAACTGGTCCCCAAGGCCCTCTCGGTTCTAAATGCCATAATTCTAGGCAACAGAGGGGTTTCCAGTGCTCGGGAGGCTTGCTGCTCAGGTCTTCTCTGCAGCACATGGGTCTAATTCATGACACACACAGGAAGGACAAAAGCAGGCTAGTAACGGACATTCAGAGAACATCTGTGGGCCCCTTAACTGTGAAACCAATTTCCTCCTTCCCTGCACACCAGGACCCTGCCTTTCCTGGGTCTCTCTCACCCTCAGGGGTTCAGTGGGAGGGAGCTGGGTAGGACATAGGCACCTGGGAGCTGGTTAGGACGGAGGCACCTGACACACCACTGTGCTGGTCTGCGGTGGCGGAGACCAAGACAACGGCAAAGGCCAGGCCTGCAAAGAGGAAGAACAGAGCTGCCTGGAGATCGCCATGTCCTGATAGCAGAGAGAAGGGGAAGCTGGAAACCATCACAGCAGAGGTTGGGAGAAGAAGGTGACAGGAGAGAAATGGAAAGAGAGGCAGAGAACTAGACCCAGGAGGAGCTGTTAGGTCAGAACAAATCTGGTCCTTCACCTCCCAAGCCTAACGCCACAACCTCACATTGTATCTCAGAAGAAGACATCCAGTAGGCCCCAGGCAAGGAGCAGCAAATGCCAGGAAGCATCCACACCACTTAACATCCTTTAGAAATTGCTTCTAAGAAAAGAATCTGAAGGAAGGAAAAGGCACAATGAGGTTTACGTGCATAGCTTTAAAATGTCTGAATTTAGCAGACTCACTTGAAAAAATTGTTAAGTAACCAAAATTATAACTAAGAGGACAGTGCAACCACATAAAAATAGCTTAGGAAATAACAGTACATGAAAAAATGAATATATAAAAGGAGACCCATGCTTGGTTACAACAATAGGAAAATGTATCCCCTTGCGGACAAGGGCTGCAAGAGACACACACACTCGAATAACCAGATGGCGGGATCGCCTGCGAGAGAGGCAAAATCTGATTTTGATCATTAATTGTGTTATGCTGTCATTTTAACAAACACAAAGGAGATAGAAAGGAAACAAAAATAGAAGAGTTTATAAAAAGAGAAAAGGCAACTTCAACATCCTGGGTTTTGGCAGTTAGGAGCCTCCCCGACCTAACCCACCCCAGAGAGAGACCAGCCCAAAGGGAATTACACCACTGAGACCCATCTTTGCATTAGCTCTTGCCCTGCACAGAAGCTGCCCACCACCACCTTCCTATCCTCTATGTCTTAACCTCACAAATACACAAGCCACACCCCACCAGGCCCCCTCAGAAATGGGCATTTGGGGGTCCTTTGAGTCTGAGGGCTCTGATGCCAGATGCTGCTGAGCTTTTCCATGAAGCATTTTTAGCTTGCTCAAGTCAACAAAACAGTCTTTTCAAGATGCATCTTTCTACAAAAGATCTTCCTCTTTCTTTAGCTTAAATAGCTTCAATCAGCCTTTTCAAACTGGGTCCCATAAGATGTGAATACCTATTGCTGGTAAAACATGTCCTGTAGTCAATTACTAGGGAGATGCTGCATCCCATAGCCCCTCAACCTGGATTCACAAGGCACATCAGAGACTCCAGGGTCATAGAGCAGCATTTCCCCACAGACCCTTTTTATTTTTACAGAACCCATATGACTCTCCTGCAGAACTACTACCAATGTCTTAAATAATTGGTGAAAGCTTCATTCCATGCCTTACTATGAAGCAAGTAAACTGGCTGGAGTGCTGGGCTAAGCCAGTGGGCCTCAGGAGCCTCCTGTACACTTGCTGTCTTCCGGACATCCATGGCACACAGTTCCCACCTGCCAACCCCTCCCTCCATTGCTCGTCTCTTCTGAGCCCCACAGACACCAGCCAGGCCATGTGCCGAGGAAAGCCCACTCTGCAGGTGCAAAGCAGAGCTCCAGCTCCAGCTGCTCCTTCAAGCCTGGCTTTCAACTTTCTGTCAGCTAGACCAGCAGGCGTGGGCGGCTTCACTGTGAATTCACCGGCATTGGCTAGCGATACAGCTTATCTCACAGTTACATACAACACCCTGCAATGAGCCTGTAGAAGTGCTCCAGAGTTTAAAAGCTGTAAAATGCCACCAATTTCAACAAACAGTAACTGTTCATGGCACCGCAGTCCCTCCAGAAAGGAAGCACAGTGACATTATGTAAATAAATGAAGCTGTTTCCTGCTCTCGCCAGACTCTTATCATCAGAACCCATGATACAGACCTGATCCTGGCACTGGAGTCTCCATGGCTGCTCCTAAGGATGCCACACGGGCAACGCACTCAGGCCTGGGCTGCCTGCTGCCCGGAGGCTGAGCTGAGTCAGTGTAAGCGCAGCTAGCTGGCTCCTATCTACTGCTGCTGGGGTGGGAGGTCTCTGCTTTGCATATCTGTAAGCAGCCTTGAGCAAGAGCAGGAAAAGTCTGAGCTGGAAATTCTCCGGTGAATATGAAATGTAAGTGGAAAATTTCCAAGAGTCCTAAAGGGCTCAGGTCATGCCAATTATCCACGGCAGCTAGCTCCTGCACACAGTGTCCTGGCCCTGTTCACAGCCCTCTCCGGAGCAAGAAACTAACACCATTGCTGCCCCAATACAACAGCACACCCAGCCTTTCTGACCAACCACAGAAGATAAGCACAGCTTCCCTCTAACATCCAGACCCCTCCTGAAAGCTGAGCAGTAACTGCAATACCATCACCTTTGCTGCCTCCCCTCAGAAGGCCCTGCCAAAACCACCCTCCAGCACTGGCAGGGGGAGCTCTGAGCCCAGTTGCCAATACTTGCTCCTCCCTCCCCTCCTCCTCTAAAAGAGGGAAGGTCTACGAACTGCTCCCTCCTTTCCCAGGAAAGCACAGAGACTCAGAAAGCAGGGGAACTGAAACAGGAGCAAGCTAGGATGAAAGGCTGGCATACCTTATCCCACCCCTTCCTTTCTTGCCCCAAGGCACCTGCACATCCCAGGTGACTGGGCAGCCTAACAAGCTCTACCAGACTGCGACTGCGTGCACATGCACACGCACACACACACACACACA